CTGGCGACATGGAGGCCTCAGCACATGAGCGTTTCCGGCGCCCTCAAGGCCCAGCGTCTGCTTTACTCCCCAGCCCGCTCCCACTCGTTCAGTGACTGTTTAAGCACCTCCTGTGCGCCCCCACCCCGCATTGTGGATATTGGGGAGCAGCCAGGATTAGGAAGGAGAGACCGGGTTCAAATCCTGCCTCAGCCACTGATTGGCGGTGTCACCCTGGGCACGTCGCATAGCCTGGATGTCTCTCTGCCTCGGTTTATGCATTGGGAAGTGGGGAGAATGTGGAACCTCCGCAGAGCGGGGCAGGAGGCGGTGGGGGAAAGCTGGCATTTCCGGTTCCCTACGCAGCCGCTGGGCTGAGCTGTGCGACGTGCACACAGTAGGAGCACAGCCACTCCCCCCCTTTCCCCCATCCCCCCGGCTCCATGCCATTAGCCAGGCTCAGGGGCCACTCTGGCCGAGAGAAGGCGGGTGCTGAGCGTGTGCCAGGAGGCTTGCAGGGGCTTCCGGGAGCAGGTGGCAGCGGGCCTGATGCTGGGATGGGAGCAGCTTGCAGGATGGGTGAGGAGAAGATGGGGCTCTGGTCAGAAGAAAGCAGAGGGTTGAGGGTGTGTGCCTGCCTTGGAGCTCTCTTTCCCCCGAAGATGTGCAGCCTGGGCTGGCACAGCCAGCAGCTTCCTGCCACCCGCAGCATGACACCCGTGGCTGCACGTCCAAGTTCAAAATGCAGGCTCCACCTTCCTCCAGAGCCACCGCCCACAGCCTTGCCCGTGTCAGGCGGCAGGACACGGACCGAGGGCAGGACACGGGCCTCTTCCCACCCGTGGCGTGGCCGTCCGGGCCCATGCTGCCTGTCTCTCCCTCCCGACCGGCCTTCCCACTCCCATACGCCCCTCCCCCCCACCCCACGTGTCAGTCACTCCCAGCGGGTGCCCAGATATTTTAAAACCTGAGTCAGACCAAACCCCCTCCCCCCTGGGGACCTGCAGTTCCCTCCTCAGAGTGAGAAGCAGGAGTCCCCATGATGTCCCGCAGGCAGAACCCGACCCGGCCCTCACTCCCTGACTCACCCCACCGCCCCCACTCTCGGCCCAGCTGTCCTGGGACCAGAGTGTTTTAGGGCAGCAGAGCCCGGCCCCTCTGGCCGACCCCTCTCTCAGGTGAGGAAGAGAAGGCTGACAGGGAGCCCTCCCTCCCCAGACCAGCCCGGAGCCCACACTAACCTAGGACCTTCTCCCGTGTCCGTGGCTCCTCCTGGTCTTCAGCAAGACGCCCGCGGCCACAGGGCCTTGTCACGTCCCCCACGTGCCCGTGATGTGCTCCAAGCCCTCTCCCAGCAGCTCCCTGGGGTTGCAAGTTCAAGCCCGTGTCGGGTGAAGCAGGGATCTGCCCTTCAACCTGAACTCAGCTCTGAGCCCCACCCGCTTTCGTTCCTCCCAGCGGGGACCTGCAGGTCACGGGCAGCGGCCACTGTCCCTACAGCACCGCCCAGAAGGCGGTGGGCAAGGACAACTTCACCCTCATCCCCGAGGGCGTCAACGGCATCGAGGAGCGGATGACCGTCGTCTGGGACAAGGCGGTGGTAAGGCGGCCTCCCCTCCCGCCCCCAGGAACATCCTAGAAGCACCCCACCTGGCCGTCAAAAGCCAGCGTGCCGTGGTCCTCAGCTCGCCGTCCTCGATGACGTGGGGGCCGAGGCCGAGCGGAGGAAGTGGCCCCGGCCGGGGCCCTCACATTGGCAGCTGTCCTTCCTCCTCAGGAATGACAAACGTGCTTGTTTTTTAAAAGTATATTTTACTGATTTCAGAGAGGAAGGGAGAGAGGGAGAGAGCGATAGAAACATCGATGATGAGAGAGAATCATGGACCGGCTGCCTCCTGCACGTCCCCCACTGGGGATCGAGCCCACAACCTGGGCATGTGCCCTGACCGGGAATCGAACCAGTGACCTCCTGGTTCATAGGTTGATGCTCAACCACTGAGCCATGCTGGCCGGGCCGGCTTGTTTTGTTTGTGACCACATTTTAGCTCCTGTGAAGGCGACTTCACTGACCGGAAACCAAACGCTGTTATTTTGTGTTACCCCGGGCCCAGGGGTGGCGGGACGCCGTGAGGCTCGGACGCAGGCGCAGGTGCCTGTGGGCAGTCGGTTCATTTCCCTCCGCTGGCGCCCGGCCCTGGGGCCCTCAGCCAGGAGAGAACGTTCCAGGCTCCTTGCAGGGCCCCCGCCCCCAGGCTGGGTCTGTGCTGCCTGCCGTCTCCGGCCCTCTTATGGGACGGTTTTCTCATCCGCGGGTCTCGCCTCCCTTCAGGCCACAGGCAAAATGGACGAGAACCAGTTTGTGGCGGTCACCAGCACCAACGCGGCCAAGATCTTCAACCTGTACCCCCGGAAAGGGCGGATCGCCGTGGGCTCGGACGCCGACGTGGTCATCTGGGACCCCGACAGGGTGAAAACCATCACGGCCAAGAGCCACAAGTCGGTGAGTCTGGTTCCCGGGACACTCTTGGCCAGGCCAGCGAGTCGTGCCCCGCGGTCACTGAGGGGCCTCTGGGTAGAAATGACACGTGGGGCTTCCGCCAGGGTGTGATCTGCTTGTCTGCCTCACTTGGCCGCTCACGTCCTCCTCCTGGGGGGACGGGGTCTGGGCAGCTGGGCTCGCGCTGTTATGGGCACGACTGGCTGTTCCTTCCGCCCCTCTCCCCCATCTCTGGCTCTCGCGCACAGAGGCCAGGACGGTGAGTGCAGGGTCCGAGAACCTTCCTCCCGTTGTGGAGCTGGAGAGCGTTAGGTCTGGTTTAGACACCTCCTGCTCCGATGCGTGTCCACTGCTGACGGTCAGCAGCGGAGAGGCCTGGGCCTGGGGCCGCCTGTTTGCACACAGCCCCGGGGGCCGCTCTCGGGTCCCGGGCCCCACGCCCGTGGCGGGCAGTTACCTCTGCGCTTTGTGCCTTACGTGTCCCTGACCTCTCCATGCACCCGGCAAACCTAAGGGCATTTATCTGGGAACCTGGTAGATAGAAGGGTGGGCAGAAACGCAAAACTGGGACCCAGAAGGAATGGCGAACGCTTTGTGTTCACTTGAGAACAGACCCGGTCTCACTGGTAATTAGCCAGGTGCAAATCCTGACAGTCAGATGCTGTTTTCCGTTTTCTTTTTAAAATATTTTGTCCGGTTCACTTTAAGAAAACGTTTTTATTGACTTCACAGAGAGGAAGAGAGAGAGAGAGAGAGAGAGAGGGAGAGCGGGATGGAAACATCAACGAGGAGAGAGAATCATGGATCGGCTGCCTCCTGCACACCCCACACTGGGGATCGAGCCTGCAACCCGGGCATATGCCCTGACCGGGAATCAAACCATGACTTCCTGGTTCATAAGTTGATGCTCAGCCACTCGCCACGCCGGCCGGGCAAGAAAGAATATTTTTGAAAAGACCCAGAAATGTCTGTTCTAGTCAGCGCAGCCACGTGCCTAACCCCAGAGGCCCCTCACGTCCATGATGCCTTAGACCACATTAGTTTGATCATAAAAAAAAACACCCTCAACTCAAATGCCCAATAGCGAGGGTTTGGTCATGCAAATGGAGGAGCACACTGTGGAATATTATGCAGCCTTGAAAAAGGTGTCTCCAGAAGAACCCAGGAAGTGCCTGTGATCTGAGGGGGCGTGGAGTCACTGTGGGGGACCACGGGGCCGTGCGGAAGCCGTGAGGCACAGCGTGGTTCTCGCCGGCAGGCCGTGGAGTACAACATCTTCGAGGGCATGGAGTGCCACGGCTCCCCGCTGGTGGTCATCAGCCAGGGCAAGATCGTCTTCGAGGACGGCACCATCAGCGTCAGCAAGGGCATGGGCCGCTTCATCCCCCGGAAGCCTTTCCCAGAGCACCTCTACCAGCGCGTCAGGATCAGGAGCAAGGTGCGTGCCCAGGTCCCCGTGTGCGGCGCCAGAGGGCGTCACGGCCACGGGGCCTCCCTGAGCTCGTGTGTCAGTGGAGCTGTGGCACGGTCCTGCCTGCACCTCAGGCCGGAGTCACTGCCAACCAGGAGGTCCCAGGGCTTTGCTGACTGTAGAGGGGTGTGCACATGTGTGTGTGTGGAGCAGGCACCTTGTAGTGTGTGTGCACGCGTGCGTGCGCGCCCACACATGTCCCGAGGCAACCTCAGGCCACTCTCCCGCCCACCGGCCTCTTAACAGGAAGGTGTGCGTGCACCTTGCCCATCAGTCACGCGCTCCCTCCCCGTTTAGGTCTCTGGATTGCAAGGGGTCCCCAGGGGCATGTACGACGGTCCCGTGTACGAGGTGCCAGCCACGCCCAAATATGCAACTCCCGCTCCTTCTGCCAAATCCTCGCCTTCCAAACACCAGCCTCCGCCCTTCAGGAACCTGCACCAGTCCAACTTCAGCCTGTCCGGTAAGGGCCGGGGCCGCGCTCCTGTGATCCGGGACACAGTGGGGAGGGAACGTGGGGGGCACCCAGCCCTCAGGGGCAGCGAGTGGCGCTGGTGACAGAAGCGACCGGCGGTCTCTTTCAGGTGCCCAGACAGATGACAACAACCCCAGGCGCACGGGCCACCGCATCGTGGCGCCCCCTGGTGGCCGCTGCAACATCACCAGCCTCGGTTGACCACAGAGGAGCGGATGCGCTGGAGTGGAGGATTCTGGGAAAATCATGTCCATTCCTTGCCCCGTCGGTGTGTTCCAAGCCCAGTGTTTCATTTGGTCCTGACGGGGGACACATCGGATGATGCTCTTTCCTTTTGCTGACGTTTAGGAAGACGTGGTACTAGTGTGGTCTGTTTGCTTGGAAATCCCTCGCCCCGCAGGTGTGTGTCCAGCCGTCTGTACCGCCCCTCCCACCTCTGTCCCGGCTCACGGTCCCCGAGTGGTTCCCTTGCACCCTCGTAGCTGTTCTAGGGTAGTTGATGCATGTTGCTAAGTTACGTATGCAAGTCTGTGCGAGCGTCTAACGGCACACGAGGACCAACCGGACACAAGGCCCGGCCTCGGGCCCTCAGGGTCCCAAACTCCACGCGAAGGTGTTTACTCATCGCCCCCACCTCAGTGGGCACAAGAGGAGCCCACGCCCCCTGACCCCCGGGACCTGTGAGCTCTCGGAAGGCGGGGAGCTTTGAGCAACGTCTGCCATTCACGTCCCGTGTCCCGGCCTCCGTGGCGCGTGCCCCTGGCCCTGACGCCTTTCGGTCCGCGTGTCTGTCCTCCCAGCCAGCTCTGGGCGTCGGGCCGCGCCGGACTCACCCTTAGAACGGGGTCCCTCGTCTCCATGCAGGGCCGACAACCGTGGGGGATGCTGCTTCCGGCTGCCCGTGTCCTTGTCCCTCTGAGGAGGCTGATGGGGCAGCCAGATTTTTAACGTTTTGTACAGAGTTTTCCTTTGTAATCACCCCCATTTTTACTTAATAACCGACTTATCGTGGCTCTTATTTCTGAATTCAAAGCTTGTGGAAAATAAAAGGAACGGCCCTGGCCTGCCTGGGGTGTCGTCATTGACGCTTTCTCCGAGCTCCGTGCCCGAGCTGCCCGTGCAGCAGCCGGGGGTCAGGCGGGGGACCTGTGACACCCCCTCCCCCTCGGGCTAAGGAGCGGCACGAGGGAGTGAAACGGTTGTCCATGCAAGAGGGTGGAGGTAATGCCAGCACGCGGCCTCTACCGTGACCTCATCACCCAATCAGACGTCCCAGCGGGGAGCCCGCTGCCCGAAGGCCTCGGTGCGGGACCCACGGGACGAAAAGAGAAATGATTTCTCTGTGAACCAGGTTCTAAGTGCTGCTCCAAGGAGCTGTGTTCCAGATGCTGCAGAATAAGGAGGCGCTTTCTTTGGCTACAAGAGGGCGCTGTTGGCCGGCTTGGGGAATCCCGTCTGTCCGATGAGCAGTTGGGACTGGCGGATGCTCTGAGGATGGTTAAACCCTGTCATTCGTGTGGGTCACTTCTTTAAGGAGCCACCCTCCTGCCTGAGAGAGTCTAGTTCGGGTTTTAAGAAATAAACACTTGGGCCATAAACGGTCCAGAATATCCCCGAGGCATGGTGCCCAGAGCCCTCCTTATCGGGGGATTTGTGGCAGCACCGAGCTCTCCACCCGGTGGCCTCAGGTCACGGGGGTGCACCCCGGGGCATTGAAGTGTCTGCAACGTTTTTGGTTGTCACACGGGGGATGCTCCTGGCATCTGCGGGGGGAGAGGCCAGACGCTGCCAAACACCCCGTAATGCCCAGGGCGGCCCCCCAAGAATGGTCTCCCCAACACGACCACGTGCGGAGGTCGAAATCCAGGATTTGGCTGAGAAGAGCCGTTTCCTTTCTCGTGGGAAGACCTCTCCTGGTGGGTGGATGTGGGCCGGTCTGGAAGCCTCAGGCCTTCTCACCGTCCTCTGGGGAAGCGGTGCCCCAGGGCGGACACTCCTCCTAGGGAGGGGGTGCAGTCTGCACCTGTGTCGGGGACCCTGAGACTCAGACCCTCGGTGACCAGGCCTTTGCTTCTGGCTGAGCCAGGGCGGGAGTGGGTCCAGGTGAGCTCCCGTGGCAGCTGGTGGCCACGGTTCCCAGGACAGAGAGAGTCGGACGGATGTGGAGGAGAAAGCCTCCTCCCAGGAAACAGCAGCCACGCCC